TACTTTATGTTTCAGGGGTGCAGAGTTAAAATTTAGGGGTGCTTGAGCACCCCCAAACAGCAGCTAAATTCACCACTGCAGAACACACTTGTACATTTCTTACAGGGTAATCACCAGTAAACGTGACACTCCCCCTCTGTAGTTTTCAGACCAGTTTCCATTCCTCTCCTTGAATCCTGTTGTATTTTTGTCCCACCCACCAGAGATGAGAGGGGAGAACTGGAGGAGGAAACACGAGGAGAGAAGATTCAAGACAACAGACATTTATCTACATGAGAGATTATTGCTTCTGACTCCTTATCGTAGAAGAACATCAATTAAACATGATCATGTGTCTGCTGTTTATTTAATAATCTCTCAGATGAGTAATAAGTTTTTATGAGAGGCCATATATTTATTTTAAATTTAGTTTACATTGTGAGACTGTAAGATAACAAGTCACACCCCTTTTGTCATACAAGACAAGAAGACGACAAACAATATACCTGTGCTTTATTAGTTATAGCGCCTTTTTCATCATTTGGCTGCTTTCCTGGTCCATTTTAAAAATGATTAATCCCTCAAAATATTCTACAATCATATTGTGTGTGTGTTACAATGAGGAGGATGAAGGTGAAAAATCAGGCCCAAACTTTTGCACCAAAATAGAAGCCGTGAACATAAAACTAACTTTTTTTTTTTAGTTTAAATATAAACTTTAAAACACAAATCAGTACACTTTGTCAAGCATCTGCTTTGGCTGCAATTTGCAATAAAATCCATCTTTAAGAAAATCTTTTGAATGGCACTATGTGGTCCTTAATCTGCAGATTTGAAATACAAGCACTTCCTTTGCGTGAGCTTATGCACTTCTGAAGTGTGGCGGTGACACAATATTAAGCTGTATATCTTTTTTTTTTCATTCATTCTAAAAAGACTTAAATTCCTCCGTAATACTGACTGCTCGCCATACATGCCCCCCATTTTACATAGCAGATCAAAGGGCAGATTACCTCTTTTGCTCTCCGATATGGTGCACCTACTTGAACTTAAGCAGGTTGTTTCAACACAAGAGAGCACAGGCCCTGATCAAACACTGTTCCTCCGGGATCAGGGGCTTTGCTGAAGCACGAGCAGCCACCTGACATCAAACACTGCAGGCAGACTTTCACTCACTCCTGCTCTGTGTGAGGGTACAGTGCTGGTGTGCCAACTAGCTGCTTCCTCTCATTTAAAGCTTTACTAACTGCCACCTCGATCAAACACTCAATCGAGCGTGCTTAATGCAAAAAGATTTCAAATTAAAAAAAAAAAAGTAAAGCAGAATTCTCCAAATTTGTTTTAGGTTTTCTTTTCAGAGTTGCTGGTCCTTTGGGAAATTTTCCAACTCTGTCAAATATGCCTAAATACGTGTCCATTTCGCACCTAAAATAAACCCAAAAGCTGCTCAAGAACCATACGACGTGCAACATTGATTTTAATCTTTGCTTAAAGGTTGTGGTATAAACTCTTTCAAAAATAGTTGGAATATTTCTGTGTTGCCATGGAAACCAACCAGACCCAACCACAAATGCGTTGTAAGATTCTAGGCATTAAAATTTAATCTCACTTTTGTCTGCAGAAAGAAGTCTGGGCTTATTGAGAACTCTCGTTCGTTGTTGAACCTGTGTGCAAGTTAGCTCAAAACTTCAAAAACTAAGGACATGAACATTTTAATGAGCAAAATGGTTGTAAATATAAGAAATAGGAAACTGTTTTTTTTTTTTATTTCAACATTTTACTGAAGAGTCTGGACCCCTGACCATAAAACTTAAATTTTATTTAAACAATATTGATGAATAAGTTCATCTTTAAAGGTGAAATGTCCTAATGCTGTTAGTTCTGATCATAGCTGTTCTCAGGTCACTGTAATGTAAAATATAAAGATAAAATCATTTGGATAATTGATTTTAATCACCATCTTGGATTTCAACAGATCCACTTGAAACAGGTGAATTTCAGGGGTTAACACAACAGAGAGTCAGAAGTCTTTCTGTTCTCAGCTCAAAGATAAGATGTTAAGATTTTTTTGTTTTGTTTTGTTTTCAACTTGTCAAAGCCTGCCATGAAGGCGCCATTTGTTCCCCCTCTATCTGTCCTATTTCTTCTTTCCCTGGCTTCACTCTCCAGAGATTTTTGATTGCAAGCCTTTATATTTTTGCATTTACAGCTGTGCCTTTTAGTGCTTCATAGCACCTCTCCGATGTTGCCTGTCTCCAGAGATACTTCATAGAGTAGCACTATTAATCATCCCCTTAAGACATGTTTCACAGGTGGGCTTTCAGATCACTGCATGTGGCAGCTGGATATGTCTTTGCATTTTAAATCAAATGATATGACACACTTCAATATTAGAACTGTGATCTCTCTTGTCACACATGTGACACTCCTCTTATTGAAATCTGGCTAATGATCAAGCCATACAAGAGCAAACTTAAATGTCTCCGAGATGAGCCGGTGGAACTTTGTTCCTGTTTTTTTTTTTTTTTTTGTGCTTCGGCTCAGGAGTTGGTGTTTCACATTCAAGCTGCGTCGCCTCCCTGCTGCCGGCGGCGGTGGCAGGATGAAGCCTGAGGTGCGCCTCCTTGGAGGACTGTGCCCTCGTTACTCCTCAGCTTGACTTTGGGTTTCACAAAGCGAGCCCTTTGTTTACGCTGACAGGATGTGCTGGCTACTGACCTGGAAAAAGTGGCCAAGACGGGTTGTCTTGTAAGGAAGAGGGAGGCTGGTGATGTATAGTCTCCTTCTGGGACCTTTCATGGAACTGCTGTTGGAGACACCCCACAATCCGTCTCCCTGCTCGTCTTCTCCTTATTTTCTTCCTCTCATCCAGCTATCTGTCTCTGTTCCCCACGCTAGTCTACGCTCTCATCCCATCTAGTCAGTGGTGGTTTTGCATGAATCTCCTCGTGCCACGATTCCCCTACCCAGTCACTGGGGTCATTCATCATTATTGTCAAGGGGGTAATGTGTGTGGGTGGGTGCAGAGATCTATGACTTCTTCATTTGAATGAACCTCATTAGATTGACTCTTCTTTGTAAAGGATCCCTTTAGAAAATACCTCTGGCAGTTATTTAGGTGATTCTCAGATGATAGCCAATGGGACATGACGTTTCAGCCGAGCATGTTTGCTCGAACAATTGAAGAGTCTTTGAGATGCAGTCTGCTGCTTATATTTTACCTTAGCATTTTGCCCTGCTTATCTCCATTTACATAGAAATATAGTTTAGAACCTTGAGGTTGAATAATGGTGCACACACTGTCAGTACAAAGCAATCATTTAATTTAAATGGATTTTTATGGTAATTATTTCAATAAAATAACAGTTTTCTTAATAACTAAGGTGTTTAAATATTAGAATTTAGCTTAGTGTTGATTTTTTTTTTCTAAAACCTACCTTTATAAACAACAGAATTAAAAGTACTGTGTGTGCACATGCAGTGATTTCAGTTTATCTGCGACTCCCTCATTATTACCACAGTATGTTTTCCTAAATAAAGATACGTTCAACATTTACCCCAAATGCATTTCCTGCTTTCCCATTGAAGTACACCAAAGTTTGGTTTCCTTATTAAAACAGATTCTTGTCAGGGCATCTTTAATCAGCCTGGTCCCAAGGGATGATATTTTTAGCCACCTTTTTGGAGGCTAAGACTTTACCCACGCAGAGCACTAATGAGATGGAGCACAAGTGTAGGCAAGCGTTAATTAAGGCTAGTATGCAAAGAAAGAGGCAGAAGCAGCACGCCCATGGCATACATACATTAACTTTATCCCACCTTCTGCATGTTTTTTTTCCTCTCCTTGTTTTTTTTTTTTCATCTTTTTTTTCCACATAGGTTGCACAAACAACAGATGGCTCTGACGCCGACCTGTGGAAGGACGGCTTATTCAAATCCAAGGTCACTCGCTACCTCTGCTTCTCCAGGAAAACTGTAAGCAAGCAAACTTCTCTCCTTCCCAGTGCCTTTTCCAGCAGCGTCTCATCTGCATCACATTCTCACTTTGCCAGCAGTTATTAGCCAACCTCTCTGCTACCAGAATGTCTGCATGCACTTTGCACTTTGATCTGTGAAAGTCCCACTTAAAAAGGCCAGCGTTGGCAGTGCATTTTTGAAGTTTTAAATATAATGGATTTGCATGCATATTTCACTGGAATAATACTGTAGAGAGATTTCTTTCTTTTTGTATGGCCTCCTGGGGATGTTATTTATGTTTATTCATGAAAGAGCAATGTGCTGTATTTTAACAATTCCAATTTATTCAATCAACACCATCCCTGTGGAGGCAATTGCTACCAACCAGTGATTTTTGAAATATGATGTGCATAAAACTTTAAAATATGAATATTCTTTGTTTTTCATTGCTCCTCTATAAGCAATTTTCAGTGTGGTTAGGCTATAAATATAACTCTCACTGTGAACAGCCTTAACACCTCTGTGTCTAAAATGATCTTTACGTTTCTTATAATGCAGCTGGGTCATTTTTGGACTCTTCGCCTGCCTGCAGCCACAGTTGATGTGTTTCTGCCTGGCTGTCAGCTGTTCCGTGGCCATAAATACACCTGCTTACAGCACCAGAGTTATCAACCTGTCCAACCTCTGCTCATACAGCTTACTATTGGCTGTCTATTAATTAACGTTCCCTGGATTGCAGGTGGGGGATGCAGACAGCATTGTAAACAAAACCTGAATTTTTGTTATTACTTTGCATCCCCTCAAATTTAGGACCTAATCAAGTCATTTTTTTTTTCAGTATGTCCTCTAAAAGGCAGGCAGCTTGGCTGCGACTGCCTCATGCCTGGGCACAATTTGGCCCTCAGTTTAGTATATAGCATACAAATAGCCTTTCCCCAGTCCATGTGTATTATCTTAAAATGTCTGTCCACATTGTTTTAAAGACTCTGACACAAATAAAACATGACAGAACCATCAACAAAGGCTATTTTGTCTGCCAGTCAATGGAACTCCCACTGTAATTGTCTATGACAAAAACAGATTCTGTAAAATTAGCCCCCGAATTATGTGGGGGGAGGTAAATAGTTTGTGATTTATCATACTCTAGGTTGAAGGTAGATAGCCCCTTTTGTCAGGTTGTGATGGAAAAAAAATATCTCCAGAAAAAATAAGGAGGAAACAATAAAAAAAACAAGGCTCCGTGCATTGTAATAACATTCATCCATATTCCTCCTTCCGTCAGTGTAAAACTATGAATAAAAAATGTCTCTAATGGTAATGACAGTCAAGCAACAGTAGTGGTGTAATCCAGGCTTTACGGACGAATCGAGTCACGCCTGGCTCGCCCCACTCTCCACTGCCGCTGTGTATTATTGCAATTTATTATGGCAAAAAATGAAAATGTAATGGGAGGCAGAAAGGAGTCATGCTTGAAAATGTCAACTACACAGTCTCTGATTATTTTTAACTAGTCCAATTCTGTTGATCAGACTGCCTCCTCTGTCTCCCATCATCGCGCAGCTCATCGCCAAAAGGTTGGAAATGATTACAAGTTCACAGACGCTCCTCTCGTTTTAAAACTACAGCTTTTACAGAGTAATTACTCAAGCTGTTTGCCAGCCATTCTCTTTAGATACTTCCTGAGCTTTTAGTATATCGTTGACCTTGTTATTAACTAGATTTTCTTTTCGAATTTCTCCCAAACTGGAAGGCTTTTACTGTCTCTTTGTCCTTTTAAAAATTAAATTTACACACATGGAGGATTTTCACAACTATATTACATTTCTCCTGTTTTCAGGGCCCTGAAGTTGTTGTGGATATGAAGGTGATTGACATCAAGGACCCACTACCAGAGTTCTTCACACCTGTGCAAGAAACAGAAGACACAAGTATGTGAACAGTCAATGCCAACCACAGGCCCACTCCATCGCTCTTTTTGTTTTGCTTCACTCTTCGGCCAGCTCATGTGGAGGTCCTCAGGGGCAACTTTGCTTGAGATAGTAAATGTTTTATGGGTGCAGGTTAGCTTAATTTATGGAAGACTGTGAGAATAAAATAAACATTTTGCCCTGGAGGTACAAGAGAAGGGAATCATGAGTCATTGTTTATCTCAGCTGGTGCTGGGCTTTTCTTTATGAGGGGCTTATTTATTTATGTATTTATTTGGGGAGAGGACCAGTAGATGGGGGGGTTATCTAATATTAATGAAATGCATTCCCCAATGCTTTAGTGCTTCTTGAGTGCTACGTATTTCCCCCCTCACTATCCATGCCTTGAAAATGTAATAATATTTTGGTGTGGGGAGTGAGGACAGCTTGTTTATTATTTTTATTATCATTGCATTTACACAGCACTTCCTGGTGTTGCTGGGGAAATAAATGAGCAGAGCACAGATGCAATATAGGAAAGCATAGTAATGCTTTTTTTTGCCAGAATGAAGAAAAGAGATTATGTTTTGTTTGGCTGTGTTGTAATTTAATGTTTTATTACTTTACGTGAATCCATGTTTAATGTATACTTGTGACATTATGTATGAATTTCTATCCAGAATATTGAGTTTAAATCCCTGTTGTGCATTAAAGCTTATGGAGGATTCACTTGCGTCTGTCATTTTACCTACTAAAATGATAAAAATGATAATAATGCATGTGAATTTTGTGGCTTTCCAGTGTCCAGTCAATTCCCTCTGAGCTCAGCAAGTCATCCAGAAACAAATATAAACTCATTTCTTATTCAAAACTACTGAAGACTAAATAGCAAAGTATATATGTATATACTAGGGCTGTCAATCGATAAAAAAATAAATAAAACATCAGATTAATCACACTCTGGGGCTGTGATTAATCTGATTAATCACTATGCTTAACTTTGTAAGCTTGAAATGTAAATATGCAGGCTTTTTATAAAATGTTGAAGAAGATGTTTTATTGTCTCAAACCAAACAGTTTGCCAGGTTTCATACTCAGCAAGGTTTACAGAAGTCATTTTGTTTCAAACATTAATTAATAAATGTTAACTCAAATGTCTCATTCAGTGTCATCTATGTGACCAAAACATGGAAACAGCAATGTTCCCTCTAATTTTTCATGTGTCTGTGCAAACATACAAGCTCCCTGAGCATCTGAGCATCCCTCTGCATCCTCTGTCTTCACTCCAACTACCTCCATGTCCTCTCTAACTGCATCCATATATCTCCTCTTTGGCCTTCTTTGTCTTTTTCCTGGCAGCTGCATTTCTAACATCCTTCTACCAATATACCCACTGTCCCTCTTCTGGATGTGGGCGGCTGTGGCTGAGTGGTTAGAGCAGTTGTCCTCCAATGCAAGAATCGGGGGTTCGAATCCACCAGCAGTCACATGCCGAAGTGTCCCTGGGCAGGACACGGAACTCCTTGTTGCCTCCAATGTGTGTCCCATTGGTGTTTGAATGTGATAAAACTCTGATTAGTCTCTTTAGAATGATTTGTTCAATTAACTTTGTAGAGATCTATTAGAGTGCTGTATGAATGGGTAAATGAGGCACAGATTGTAGTGTAAAGCACTTTGAGTACCTTGAAATAAGATAGAAAGGTGCTATATAAGTACAGTCCATTTACCAATTTGCATGTCCAAACTGTCTCAGTCTGGTCTCTCTAACTTTATCTCCCAGTTGTTCAACTGTGCTTTACCTCTGATGATCTCATTCCTAATCATGTCCATCCTTGTTACTCCTAAGGAGAACCTCAACAACTTCACTTCTGCTACTTCCAGTTCTTTGTCCTGTATTTTTGTCAATGCCACTGTCTCCAGACCATACATCATAGCTGGTCTCACCACTGTCTTGTAAACTTTTCCTTTGACCATCCAGATTTACACCGAGCACTACTGTTTGCTAACATTTACCATGATAAAAATGGCTACAAGTCGTGGGATTAGCTTACTTACCACCTTTGTTTGACATCATACGACCGTAAACTTCTGTGATAAATCCACAATGACAAATGTTATTCCTCGGTATGCCATGAAATATGCAGTATAAATCTTGGAAAAGCTAGAAGCCAAGCAGGTGGCTTCTAGCTACTTAACTTCTTCACACGTCAGTGCTGAAACTCCAGAAGACGCTGATTGGCTGGAATGAAAGTTTGCCTGTCATTTCACATCTTCGTAGACTTCCATTGTCGTTACACAAATCATGTGACACGAGTCGTTTTGACCGGGGGTGGGGGGGTGGGGGTTTCTTCCTCCACTCTGCACGCATTTCAGACAGGTTGTAAAGGTCGCTGCGCTCGGGCTGCTGGCCAATTCCCAACTGCGCAGCATAGATTTTCTTGTGCGCAGAGAATGTGTGAGCAGTGCACACAGTTTAGAGGGAACGCTGGTGAACAGTATAGTAATGCAATTAATCTGCAATATGTAATATTATTGCGTTAGTCTTTTTAGATTAATCACACGCGCTAACACGTTAACATTGACAGCCCAGATAGATAGATAGATAGATAGATAGATAGATAGATAGATAGATAGATAGATAGATA